ATTCCCCACCCAGGATGGCTGGCTGGGGAATTCTGGGAGTTGAAGTCCACTCATCTTAAAGTGGCCAAGTTTGGACAACACTGTCTTAGAAGAAACAAAAAAAGTCTCTGAAGTAATGAATTAGGGGATAAATTGATTCTAAATGGGAAATAGTTCCGCTGTTAAAATGCTGGTAACCCCTTCCCTTTCATCTCAATAAATCTTGCTAAAGACTCTGTGAGAATATTACTTAAAAAGAGTATGGTGAAGGCAGCTGCCAAACAATGAATCAAAAGTTCCTTGAAGAACGGGAACCAACTCATTGTGGTCTTCAGAGGAAATATTCTATCCCACTTAGAATAGTATTTTTTCCTCCCAAACTTCATGTCTTCACACAGTTGAAGAAATACTGGTTTAAGGTAACATTAAGACCTGTATAAAAATTTTAAAAAATTAATGACATATCATCTTAACACTTTTTCCCCCTAATACATCCATATGGTGTCAAAATTTGAACACCTGTTATGTTTTTCACATTTTCTTTTAAAAGTGCAAGTTGCATTTGAAAGAACAAGGAAAAGCAGTATAGGAATCATAATAGCAGACCCAAATTGCTTTGTCTGCAATGAGCTGCTGAAAGTAAGGATGCCTCACCTGGAGTTCTTGAGCCACATGTAGCCCTTGACCAAGCAATTACCAAAAATGAGCAGATGCTTTCTTGCTACTTTCAGCTGAAACTATAGAGCTCCATGGTAAACCTTAACACAGGCTTAACATTTTAAAAAAAACAACCCTAAAATCCACATACCTGTGACCCTGTCCCATATACTTTGCATCACTGTCCTGCCTACTGCAGCCCTCCTTGTCCCGGAAGATGGTACTTGGGATTCCTAGCCACTCAAAGGCTGCCAACCTTGACCTCAACTTCGATGAGAAACTATGGATACTAAACCAACTGCAATTGATTTGATTTTTATCCTGCTTTTCTTCTAGCAGGCTAAAGTGTCATACTCAGCACTCCCTCTTCCAGTTTTCCTCAGAACAACAAACCTGTGAAGTAGATTGACTGAAAGAGAGCCACTGACCCCAAATCACCCAGGAAGTTTCCAGGGCTGAAGCTGGACTTGAACCTGGCTCTCCCAATCTTGATCCAAGAACTTAAACACCTCAGATTATTCCTGTTGTCTTTTCTTCTACTTCACTTGTGGCAGCAGCCAAAGACTTAGAGTCATAGGCTGGGAAGAGATCAGATGGAGCAAATGAATCAGTGGCTCTTTCAGAGGATCAAGTGGCATAAACCAGAAACTGAAAAAAAGACTTTGCTTGGCAAACAGGCTAATTCCTTTCCTCCCTTCAAATCACAAAGACACTGCCAGGAACCAAGCCTTTTACATTTATGCCTGAGGCATTCTGTTGCTTTCCTTCACCAGAACATATTTGAAGTTCTGAAGATATACAGATCTTTTGGCTCACAGTCTCACCCCTGCATCTTTTCTGAACTTTCAGACCCCTGTTATCTTGCTCCCCGCTTGCTGTTGTTGTTCTATTTGCTGTCCCTGTTATTCTGGAGTGAGAGGGATGTTTGAACAGCTCTAATATTCAACAAAGGGCTCCGTATCAAAAGCAGAAGAGCCTGGAGCTGAAAATCAGGGAGAAAAGATGAAAAAAAGTACAAGTTCAGAAGCCTTGTAGCAAGTTTAACTTTTTATAAATTCCTCCCTGCCTGGGATGTTTTTCCCAGCACTAGCAAAGCTGGAGAAAAGGTGGCCGGGGGGGGGGGGCGGTTGATTTCTAAGATACTGAAAGGTTAGTAGCAACAGATCTTAATGTCCAAACCCAGCAAGGCTGAGAAAGGATAGGGAAATAATTTAAAGAAGTGAATTGAGCAAGACGTGTTTAAAATGAAATTATTTCACACTCCAAACCTCAGGATTTCATTACCTTGATCAGATGGCACGACCAACTTTGGCCAGCTATTGTGTGCTACTGAAGTTCAGTGGTGTGGGCAGAACGAATTTCCCCATCTGAGCTTCCTGGAATTGTTTTGGGGATAATGCTAGCATCCCGCAAGCTGGTTATTTTGGAAGAGTTCAACATGTAGTTTCCATATTAGGAGAGGATGAGAAATGGCTAGCTGCCATGGCAATGAAGGACTTACCCAGAATCAACTCAAGAAGATCTAGAGACTGTAGAAGGGGGAAGAGCCACCATTTGAGGTGGAAAGATCTTGGGGATTCCTTTGTGACATAATCTGGTTCCCAGGTTGGAATTTTAGTTGACACTTGGAATGTGGAAATGGTCTGGGCCGTGGACACCATAGATCTTGAATATTCTCACACTGGATATGGACCTAAGTTTGTTCATTTGTGGTCTGACAAACCAACAGGCAAAAACAAAACACAAAAATCCCCACCAGCAATAGTGACAGAATACTTATTCAGGTGATAATGAACTCCATCAAATGTACACTGACTTAAATACAGAAATAGAACCAGGACCAAGAAATTTGTGAAAGTACCTAAAACATGATCTGAAATGTATAGACCATTATAACAAAATTATATATATTAGCCCCAAAACGTTGACTATCCTTGGAATACATTAAAGTCTCTTTTTCAGGCTCTAAATCCCAATAAAATTCCATTAGGCTACATTCTTGGCTGATATTCTGGCAAGAGAGGCTTTTAGTTGTAAATCCAAATTTACATAACTGGGCTAATCTATGTAATTGCTCTATATGACATTTGAATAATTATATAAATGATTTATATAACATAAATGATGTAAAAAGCCGATTACATACTGACAGAAATAACATCAAATCTTCAAATCACTTGGGAAGGGACAGATTTTGTCCACTCTTTGGGTGTGAAGTCTTAAGTATAATTTAGCCCATTCATCCAAAGTCTGCTTAATGTAGGTCTGGAGATCAATATGTATATTTTAAACATGCTACTTAGCTAAAACATTTTTTTCACTTACATGGTTTATGTAGAGACTCTTCCGTTTTTCTCTCACTGTGAAAACACAAAATGTATGAAAGTTATCTAATCTGAAGTCCATTAACTTTTGTAGCCTCTATCGTTAAAGAACTGATGATCTTTGTAAAAATGTATAACCAAAAAAGGTTACAAAAGCAATTTCTAAGTTTATATTTATGTTCACCATTACAGAAGTAATACATAAATGGGATGGTTACACTGTGTAAAGCAAGATAGATTAAAATACTGCTTTATAAAGGAAATTTGCCTAATTTTATGATTCATTTATTTGGTTTGATAGAGACATTCAATAACAAGAACATTTTTGATACACTTGAATAGCACTTATTATTGAATCATGTTTCCCATCAGGCTTAACTTAAAATGCTCACAGTATACAGAACTTGATTTTGATTTTAAATAATATTGTCTTATTTCAGGTATAAAATTTCAGTATCAAAACTTTTTAGATGAAAAGCTTTTGATATCAAAATCAGAGCACAAACTCCATCCAGAATTTTAGGCTACTAGCTACAATAATAGTTCACTCCATCATCCTCTTTGCCTTTCAACTGACTCATATAGTTCTGGAATGCTGTCAGGGCATTCAATGGCTCATAGAAGAGGTATCACATTACCCATTTTCTGAGTTTTCCCATATACGTGAGTTTTCTTTGCCCAAAAGTCCTCAGACAAATCTCACTTCTCATTGCTCACACAGTACACACTGACTTTAGAAAACTGACAAACCAACTGTCCTTTCCTGCAAGATATTAGATATCCCTAGAGGTTCTACATGTATCCAGACTATAATGGACTGGATACAGAAGAAGCTTCTGAAGGTGAATTCAAACAAGATGGAGTTAGTTCTGGGAGCTAGACTTCAAGATTTTAAGGTTAGGAAATACTTCTATTCTGAATGTAGTTATACTCCCCCAAAAGTCAGTTTGCAGCTAGAGACCCTCCTATATTTGGCACTGACACTGGATAGCCGTGTAGTATCTGTAGCAATGTTTCAGTATCAGATAAACCAGATGCATTCCTACATAAAGAGAGAGACCTGGTTTCAATGTGTCATAAACTAGTAACCTCAAGGGCAATTCAACTTGCTGTTCATAATGCAGTTCTTGAAGATGATCTGAAAATTTGGCTCACAATGTTGCAGCAAAGATGGTAGAATGCTATCTCCTGGAGATTCTACATTACCCTTGTGTTGAAACATCTTTATTATTTGCTAGTTACTTTCCAAGTCCAATTCAAGTTGCTAACTATGGAGCATAAAACTCTCTGCTCACCTACTAAAGGGGTTTGCAGGAACCATGTCTAGTTGTGTAATATGCATGTTGGTGGGCCTCCAACTAAACAATTCTTAACTTGATTGTTCCAAATGGGTTGTGCACATGTAAATTCATAGATTACATTCAAAGTACTACTGTTCCAGGTAAGTACAGGTAGTCCTCATTTAGTGACCAAAATTGGGACCAGCAGCTCTGTCATTAAGCAAAGTGGTCACTAAGTGGGAAATCACGTGACCACAACTGTGCTTTCCTTTTCCCCACCCTCTGGAATGCTCACCCTGGCACTGGGATAGCCAGGTCAAAGCTGACAACACTAATCAGTTTCACACTTTCAGTTTGTTTCCCTCCTAACCACTCTTGGAATGCTCACCCTGGCAATGGGATAATCAGCAAAAGGGAAATTAATGTTTGTATTTACATTCATTGGAGAGGAAGGGATTACAAGAGAGTAAGTGGCATGCAATGGGGAATATACATAAAAAGGAATGTGGTGGTGCTGACAGCCCCCAGCATGCTTGGAGCTAGGAGCTGTGAGCTCATTACACAAATAGCACACAATAACCATTGTGTGCCTGCTTACTCTCTTGTAATCATTTCCTCTCCAATCTCTCCACTCTGCAAGAGGTGGGGGGAATGGGCCAGCACAGAAGAGATTGCCTATAGAAATTGCTTGTGTTTTTTTTTCTTTCTCCCCGCCCTCCCTTGCTTGTTTAAGCAATCTCTCTGCTCGGGGCTGCCGGCACCACCGCATTCCTTTTTATGTATATTCCCCATTGCGTGCCACTTACTCTCTTGTAATTCCTTCCTCTCCACTCTACAAAGGTGGTGTGGGGGGGGAAGGAAAACAACAGGTCAGACACAGGACAACATGTACTGACTGTAATGGCAATCATGGGACTGAGGAATGCTGTAAAGGTCATAAATGTGGGCACTGGTCATAAAGTTATTTTTTCAATATTGTTGTAATATCGAATGGTTGCTGAACAAGGCAGTCACTAAGCAAGGACTACCTGTAACAAATTATTTCATTCAGATGCTACCACATTTTCTTACTCTCCTTTCCATGTCTTTTAGTGTCAGTGGACTTATTCACATCTCTTTCATTTAGATGATATCTCTTTTCCAGTAGTTCTCCAAGGTATCGAACAAAACTTTTTTTCAGCAATTGTCCCTTAATTCTTCAAATATAAAAATATTGATATGCAATTTACTATATGCAGAGCACATGCTACTTCCCTGTGCGAAGAACTGTAATGAAGATTTTATTTTTAATGTCTTTTAATGTCCTTCATTCCACAACAAACTCTGAAACCAGTCTGCCATATTCCAGTGAAAAGACACAGTTCTTTTTCTATAGGGGACACTGAATGTCTATATCTTCTCCTTAAGGATGATGCTTACTACAGTATACCCAGAATCACAAGTTTCAGGCCAACACTCTAATTCCTGGTTACAGCCCAGTTCCACTTTGCCATAGAAAGCTTTAAAATTATTCTTGGAGCAATGTAGCCTTCTTCTTCTGATCAGCTTCTTCTTTTCTAGGCATAGTTCTTAATTTATAGACCAGATCTATCATTAACACTTTGAACATATTTGCCATTTGCTCTCCACTGGCTTCTACAATGCAAGCAGTCTTCTTTTGGCAACAGAATTTCACAACTTAACAGGCAGGCCCTAAATTTAGACATCTTAAATAGCATTTTATGAGCAAGGAGCTTCATGACAATTAAAATGTTCCAGTTTATGAAGTAATATAGGACACACAATCAAAGAGTTCCATGTACCATAGTCTCCTAATACTCAAAAAATGCTTCAGCAAATATTAGAATACAAGAACAGCACAATAAAGCAAACTGTTAACTGTTAATTACAACATGACATAAAAGAATATGAGACAATAAATTAATATATAATTTTAATAAAGTATCAATTAATTGAGAGCCAGTTTGGTGTGGTGGTTAAGGCATCAGGCTAGAAACCTGGAGACTGTGAGTTCTAGTCTCGCCTTAGGCACAGGAGCTAGCCAAGTAACTTTCTCACTCAGCCAGTTGATCTTTCTCAGCCCAATGAAGAAGGCAATGGCAAGCCACTTCTGAAAAACCTTGCCAAGAAAACTGCAGGGACTAATCCAGGCAGTCATCAGGAATAAGAACTGACTTGAAGACACAGACACACATCAGTGAATTAGCATCATTAATAGAATTCTAGTAGCCATAATAAAAATCAGTACTATTGTTCATTCAAAACCAAACTATCTACCATTCTGTTTGTTTCTGGCCCTGTTTCAACTTCCCAACTCTGCAGCTCTTCCAATATAGGGTATATCAACATATGCTTGCTTGCAGATGTCCAAAGAACTAACAAGAACTAACTCCTTGCGTGTTACCTTAAAGAAAAGTAGAGCATTACTCAAATTAGATGACACTCTCTCTTCTTCTAGTTGATGAAGTATTAAAGTAATGCTTAAATTTCCAAAAACAAAACCCCAAAAATGGAGGAAAAGGCTCTGAATTCTCTCCATAGTAGTGTGCAGTGATTCAATAGAAACCTAAGAGTTAATTTACTACCTAACAATTCACTGTGCATGTTCAACACGGCTATGCTAGAGCGCGATAAGAGTTGAGTTACACAATTCAAAAGTTTTTCAAGTGGTTTCTGTCCAATAGCATAGGAATTTAGTGGACTGCAAGAAACAAGGATCAGGATTGTGATCCACAGTATGATCCATTTCAGTAATAACTGAGAAATTACTTCCCTTAATGACACTGGAAGAAAACATTGGTGAACTAAGGGACTGCTCAAAATGTTTATTTCTAAAGATTTCTTCCAAATCTATTTCTGTTACTGCTACTATTACTATTTCATTCTTCGATCAAACTAAGCTATGAGTTTTTATTCCTTCTCACTACTGTTGATAGCTATAACCTTCTGGTGTTTCATGAACGAGTTAAATATTTTCCTACTTTACAAACTGATCCTGGCTAATCAGGAATCATGCAGAGAACGTAACAATATTATGACACTATAATAATGAGGAGGGCAAGCACAGTCAATGCAATAATTTTTAAACAGGCACTGGAATACTCGGCTACCATAATTTATAAGCTACGCTAATTTATTTGCCTTGGCTGATATCAGTTTTCTTTTGCTCTTCATCTAGAGTTAGGACAGTTTTATAGCCACGGAGCCATATCTGGCCGCATAATGCTAAACAAAGTGGTGATGCTGTATTCCTTTTCTTCAAATACAAATTTATTGACCCAGAATGGAGCAGCTAACTATATAGAACACACCAAAGAAATTCACAATGCACTAATGACCATTCGTGCATCAACACCTGAAATGTTGAGGCAAATACTGGGCCTGTGGATCCCAGCAGACCCACTGGGACAGAGGGTATTATTTTGTATTTGGCCACAGGAGCTGCAGTCACCACTGCCAACTTTAGTTATTGACTGACTTATTGGGCTTCTGCTGCCCAAATCATAAAGACACTGAGCAGCTTATACAGCCAATACAATATTCAGAGTAAAACAACAGACATTTCATATACATTTCAAACATTTCTGTCCCAATGTATGCGGAGGTTCCAAGAGACTTTGGGATGAGAAAGGTGACATAGCTAGCTCAGCAGCTCTGACCCTTTTCTGCTTTGGGCTGAGCATCACTGCTAATCCTCACCATCATCTATCTCCGTATGGAGGGGTTAACGATGATGGGCAGCCCCAGAGATTTGCAGCTTCCTGGAAAAGTCCCAAGAAAAGTATTTGCAGCCAATGCTTCTGTTCTTTTGATTTCCTATGGAGTCCACCTCAATGGTGCTTTTCGATACGGACTTAAGAGAGCAGCTTGCTCTTCGCTTCATAAACAGATATTTAGGAAAGGGAAGAACTACCTTTTTCTGGCCAGAAGATGAACATAATAATTTTCCTGAGAGCCCAGGACACAGCAGGCAATCAGTGCAAAGTAGGCAAGACCAAGATTTTCTCCTTTTCCCTCAAAGATTTTGTTTCAAGGGCGGTGGTTTTGAACATCTATTTCTTATTTAGCTGAGTTAAGTCTGTTTGGGCCTTAATTTTGGAGAGCTTCCTACCTCAGAATGGCACGAAGCCATGCCACCAATTTTCAGCCACTGTCATTGGAATGGAGACTATGGTTGCAAGAAAACAAAGCTTAGCGCCCACATGCTAAACCTCAAGGTACTCACTCCTCTGTTAGAGCATGATAGTCTGGAAGAGATAAAGGCAATTTAACACTAAGACTATCAACATTTCTTACGCATTTTTCAGAGAAAACATGACTGCCATTTGTTATACACAACAGCTTGCAGGAGGAAAAAAGGCTGCCATCTTTGAATAAGCTAACAGTAAATGAATCTCCTTCTCCTGATTACATCAAGTTGCACTCTAAAGCAAACACTATTAATTTCCTGGGAAGGCAAAAGCACAGGCTAATAAATGATTGTGTTCAACTCCACTGATCAATGAACTTGAGAGGATGTCTGTGTTTTTCTTTTAAAGAGCGCAATGCTCAAGAGAAATGATAGCAATCATCGACCTCAGCCTAAATATATTTGGCCAGACTCTCAACAAACCAAATGCAAGGATTAAACTTTCTTGCTGCAACAGTGTTCCAAAATACTTCTGAGTAATTCTTGCCTGTTCTTAGAGTAAACTAGTTGCAACAGGGAAAACCAGACTCTGGTTTTACTTCCTTACTCTCCTGGGGGAATAGGAAGGAGTTTAAACAAAATAGGTACAGTATATTGAATTTAGGAAAAGTTTAACATACCTATCTTTCCTGCTCTTTGTCAAAACAGTAACAAGAAGAACAGCAACCTGAATGTTGTGCTACTGAATTTCGTTGGAACGCTCTTACAGGACTTGGAAGTTAAATGAAGAGAGAGGATGGGAGCGCATGCAACTCATAGACATGAGTTGCCCATTATTAATTCACAACAGTTAACTCAAGGCACAAATGACCAGGCTCAAATGATCCTACTTTGGACACATTGCTCTCTGGAGAAGACTGTAATGCTGGGAAAGGTAGAAGGAAAGAGAAGAGGACAACCAGCCTCAACGTGGATGGACTCAGTTACAATGGTGATGGGTGCACAATTGGAAGACCTAAAAGACCAGGCTAGGGACAGATCAGCATGGAGAAAATCTATCTGTGTGGTCGCTAAGAGTCGACAATGACTTGATGGCGCATAATCGTCATCAGTGCAGAGGAAGGACTGTGCTGCACCTAGTTTTTTTTTTAAGATCCTTGCTTAGTCTTTGTTCTCGTTGTTGTTGCTGCTGCTTTTTGAGCAAAGAACTGTCTTTCAGTCTATGGATGAGAACCTACATTACTGACTTGTAATGAGACAGCTTGAGGGACGAACTATTTATTAAATGAAATGTATGGCTACATTCAACGTTTCTGGATTTTGTTGTTATTGTTTTTAAGTAATAGCTGTGTGGGTCCAAGGTTGAAGCACACCCAAGGGTTTCATTTTTCACAGCATGGTTTTGAAAAAGTTCTGCCTCCTCCATATAGTTGCTGCTTGATGTGGGAGAGAAGCTGATATTGTCATCAACAGCAGCTTTCCTTCCACACCAAAAAGCAATGGGGAAATGGGGAGAAGACTCTACTTGCTGATACTGTTAGGATCACAGCAGGAAAAGATTTCAAAAATAGTCCACCCAGTCCTCTTCCTGGCTTTGTACCCCTTCAGGCATTTAACAAATAAATAAACAAGTTTTTTTTTTAAGAAAGATATATAGTTAACACAATGCATAATACAGTTTTGAAAAGTATGTACAAAACATTTTTAAAAAAATAAGTAATAACTTACAGACCAGATACTATTAAGCCAGTGTTGTCCAAACTTGGCCACTTTAAGGTGAGGGACCTCCAACCCCCAGAATCCCCCAGCCAGAATGGCGGG